ACTAGACGTAAATTTGCCTAGAAAAACCACACAACAGCCATGAGCTATTGGGGTTGGTTCTGCAACGTCCTGTAAAGGATACACAACTAACCTATACTCTTACTGCTGTCGGCTTGGATTCATTCTACCTTGCTGACTGAACGAATTTAGTCTTTGTTTATCTAAGAATTTAACTATGGATACTGCTCAACTGTTGCGTGCGTGTGTGTGTGTGTGTGTTTTTTTTTTTTTCAATTTCTAATACATTTTCTAGCGGATTTGTTTTCCATTTCCGGTTCGAATCTCTCTTTAAAAAACTACAATTGGAGAGGTGTTACATGCTTGCAAGAGTTATACACCCATACAGGTCTCCATGGATACTCAAACGAGAGATGATCTCTCTAGGATGACTTTTGTTTTGGCCAGATTTCTTGGCAGCTCACAACCAGGTCTACAAATATTAGACCTTCTGCAATCCATTTTTCAGTAATGTATAAGGTCATTTAAGTGCTTTCAGTAACGTAGGTAGTCAATGAGTGCTCTCAGTCATGTAGGTAATCAGTGAAGTGCTCTCAGTCAAGTAGGTAATCAGTGAAGTGCTCTCAGTCATGTAGGTAATCAGTGAAGTGCTCTCATTCGTGTAAAGTAGTCAATAAAGTGCAGTGAATCATGTAGGTAATCAGTGAAGCGCTCTCAGTCATGCACGTAGTTAACTAATTGCTCTCAGTCATGAAGACTGTCAATGAATTGCTCTCAGTCAAGAAGACTGTCAATGAATTGCTCTCAGTCAGGAAGACTGTCAATGAATTGCTCTCAGTCAGGAAGACTGTCAATGAATTGCTCTCAGTCAGGAAGACTGTCAATGAATTGCTCTCAGTCAGGAAGACTGTCAATGAATTGCTCTCAGTCAGGAAGACTGTCAATGAATTGCTCTCAGTGACAAAGAAAGTTAATGAATTGCTCCTAAAACATGCTCTCGAGCCACCATTTAGCTCACGAGTTAGCGAGTACGTTTAACAGTCTAATAATCCTTGAGTACAAGAGTTAGTGAGTGCGTTAACAATCTGATAATCCTGGAGTACAAGAGTTAGCGAGTAAGTTTAACAGTATAATAATCCTGGAGTACAAGAGTTAGTGAGTATGTTTAGCAGTCTAATAATCCTGGAGTACAAGAGTTAGCGAGTATGTTTAGCAGTCTAATAATCCTGCAGTACAAGAGTTAGTGAGTACGTTGAACAATCTAATAATCCTGGAGTACAAGAGTTAGCGAATACGTTTAACAATATAAAAATCCTGGAGTACAAGAGCTAGCCAGTACGTCTAACAGTCTAATAATCCTGGAGTACAAGAGTTAGCCAGTACGTCTAATAATCCTGGAGTGCAAGAGTAAGCCAGTACGTCTAACAGTCTAATAATCCTGGAGTACAAGAGTTAGCCAGTACGTCTAACAGTTTAATAATCTTGGAGTACAAGAGTTAGCGAGTACGTTTAACAATCTAATAATCCTGGAGTACAAGAGTTAGCCAGAACGTTTAACAATCTAATAATCCTGGAGTACAAGAGTTAGCCAGTACGTCTAACAGTTTAATAATCCTGGAGTACAAAAGTTAGCGAGTACCTTTAACAATCTAATAATCCTAGAGTACAAGAGTTAGCGAGTACGTTTAACAATCTAATAAATCTGGAGTACAAGAGTTAGCGAGTACGTTTAACAATCTAATAATCCTGGAGTACAAGAGTTAGCGAGAACATTTAACAGTCTAATAACCCTGGAGTACAAGAGTTAGCGAGAAGGTTTAAAAGTCTAATAATCCTGGAGTACAAGAGTTAGCAAGTACATTTAACAATCTAAAAATCCTGGAGTACAAGAGTAAGCCAGTACGTCTAACAGTCTAATAATCCTGGATTACAAGAGTTAGCCAGTACGTCTAACAGTTTAATAATCCTGGAGTACAAGAGTTAGCGAGTACGTTTAACAATCTAATAATCCTAGAGTACAAGAGTTAGCCAGTACGTCTAACAGTTTAATAATCCTGGAGTACAAGAGTTAGCGAGTACGTTTAACAATCTAATAATCCTAGAGTACAAGAGTTAGCGAGTACGTTTAACAGTCTAATAATCCTGGAGTACAAGAGTTAACGAGTACGTTTAACAATCTAAAAATCCTGGAGTACAAGAGTTAGCGAGTACGTTTAACAGTCTAATAATCCTGCAGTACAAGAGTTAGTGAGTAAGTTGAACAATCTAATAATCCTGGAGTACAAGAGTTAGCGAATACGTTTAACAATCTAAAAATCCTGGAGTACAAGAGTTAGCCAGTACGTCTAACAGTCTAATAATCCTGGAGTACAAGAGTTAGCCAGTACGTCTAATAATCCTGGAGTATAAGAGTAAGCCAGTACGTCTAACAGTCTAATAATCCTGGAGTACAAGAGTTAGCCAGTACGTCTAACAGTTTAATAATCTTGGAGTACAAGAGTTAGCGAGTACGTTTTACAATCTAATAATCCTGGAGTACAAGAGTTAGCGAGAACGTTTAACAATCTTATAATCTTGGAGTACAAGAGTTAGCTAGTACGTTTAACAGTCTAATAATCCTGGAGTACAAGAGTTCGGTGGGCGGTTCATTAAATATTTATTCTCTAATATTTCGGACAGAAACACGAATCACCCGGGGCAGGATATTGGGGCCTCAGCACATAAAATATTACCAAAAACAGCAGCTGGGGTTCGGTATTCAACCTTGGTCGTGGAAATGGCAGACATATTTTTTATATGATCTCGGAGACAATATATGAGACGGAGCACAATGATACGAAAGAAGAGATTGTAAAATAATTTTGAGAGAGAGAGGGACAAGAGAGAGATGGAGATAGAGAGTAGATATATTACTACAGGCCAAAGACAAATATAAATACACAAATACACTCCAAAATGTGGGGTTTGTGTTTAAAGGTGTGAGTGCTCGCTCCTGTGATTGTGTTTATTTGTGAGAAAGATTTAAAAAAAAAAAGTTTACAACAGCCATGAGCAGATAAGAGAATTTCTCCCAGGGCTCAGGAGAAAGCAGAGAGCGACAGACGAGGGGCGGATAACAAGGAACAAGGAACGCGAGAGGCCTGCAAGTGATCAATATCGATGGCCGTGTATCCAAAAACAGAATATATTAGATATATTTATCTCCCTTGAATGAGGTTGTTGGATAAATTGACGGCTGAATTCCTACAAAGAATGTCGTACTCTGGAGGAAAGAGGTATACATGGGTATGTCATAATCTTTATCAGAATCATTCTCCTCCCTCTTCTTCCTCTTTTCAACAACATCACCATCATCAACATCACCATCATCAACAACATCGTCATTAATCGCATCATTAGGTTGTGTCGTCTACACATCTCAAAGGTCTAAAATATTTCGTTTTTCTACTCTCTTTCTTCATTCTGTTCTCCTCTTCTTCTTCTTCTTCTTCTTCTTCTTCTTCTTCTTCTTCTTCTTCTTCTTCTTCTTCTTCTTCTTCTTCTTCTTCTTCTTCTTCTTCTTCTTCTTCTTCTTCTTCTTCTTCTTCTTCTTCTTCTTCTTCTTCTTCTTCTTCTTCTTCTTCTTCTTCTTCTTCTTCTTCTTCTTCTTCTTCTTCTTCTTCTTCTTCTTCTTCTTCTTCTTCTTCTTCTTCTTCTTCTTCTCCTTCTTTTTCTTCTTCCTCTTCTTCTTCGCCGTTCGCATTCAC